TATCTATAAGTAGTATTACTCGGTCCTTAAATTGTTGTGTAACCTTTTTTCCCCATTTTTGTGTTTTCCAGGATTTAACCTCAGGGAGGACGTTTGGTAAAGGAAATATGGTTGATGGCCTCTACATCTTGGAGAATAAAGCTGGTCCTGCGGCATCAGCCTCTGTGAGTCTTATGAGTCAGTCTACAAACAGTCAACTATGGTTATGGCATAATCGCCTTGGTCATTTGTCCTTTGAGTCTTTGAAAGTTGAGTTTCCTGAATTGTTCAAGTCAGTGCCTATTACTAGTTTACATTGTCAAACGTGTCAGTTGAACAAGAATTGTAGAACAACTTTTTCTTCAAATAATAAAAGATCTACTTTGCCTTTCCATATTGTCTTTTCTAATGTTTGGGGCCTTGTAAACATACCTACTGAGTGTGGGTACAAGTACTTTATCAGCTTTATTGATGACTATTCGAGATACACTTGGCTATATCCCATGCATTCGAGAGAAGAGGTCCCCAAGATTGTGCAAGATTTCCATTGCATGGTTTTCACTCAATTTCATGTTGAAGTCCAAATCTTCCAATCGGATAATGCAAAGGAGTATTTCCATCATGACTTAGCCGAGTTTTTCTCTTCTCATGGATCTCTTCATAGAAGCTCATGTGCCAGAACACTACAATAGAATGGCATTGTTGAAAGGAAGAACCACCACCTCCTCGAAGTTGCTCGCAGTAGGATGCTTCACATACATTTTCCAAAACGTTTTTGGGTTGATGTTGTGATGGCTACAGCTTATGTTATTAATTGTATGCCATTGTGCCTCCTGCAATACAAGGCCCCGCATCAACTTCTTTTTCCTCAATCCCCTTTATTTTCCATTCCACTACGTGTGTTTGGGTGTAAGTGTTTTGTTCATGATCTTTCTCCCAGCCGGGGTAAATTGGATCCCAAATCTGTTCCATGTGTTTTCTTGGGTTATCCCTCTTCCCAGAAAGGTTACAAATGCTTCAATCCGGTCACACATAAGTACTTTGTGTCGATGGATGTATCCTTCTTTGAATCTGAACCCTTCTTCCATGCCTCTCCTCAGGGGGAGAATAGTGTGAAGGAGGAGAGGCAAGCAACTACTCAAATTCCTCTTCTTTCTATTCCTGACTCCTCTCCATTTCGTGTCTTCTTGAGGCGCCATAAGGGACAGCTGAACTCAAAGGCTGTGGAGCAACTTGAGACTATACATCCAGCACCATCTGACTCCTTGAAGGAAAATCCAGGTACCCTTGTTCCTCTTGATATTACTGGACCAATTGCTATTGATGACTCTACTAATGATCTTAATATCCCAATTGCTCATAGAAAAGGGGTTCGATCATGTACTACTAAGCATCCTATTGCTCAGTTATTGTCTTACAAAAACATTGCTCCCTCATTTCGTGCCTTTTTGACTGCCATTAATTGTGTCTCCATTCCCAAAAGTGTTGCAGAAGCCTTATCTACACCTGAATGGATAGAGGCAATGAAGGAAGAAATTAGTGCTCTTCACAAAAACAACACCTGGGAGTTGGTGAATCTTCCTGAAGGAAAAGAGCCAGTGGGATGCAAGTGGGTATTCACAGTAAAGCATAGAGCAGATGGGTCAGTTGAGAGGTATAAAGCCAAGTTAGTTGCAAAAGGGTATACTCAGGTGTATGGGGTTGACTACGCTGAGACTTTTGCCTCGGTTGCTAAAATGAACACTATTTGGATTATACTATCCTTGGTTGTTAACTTTGATTGTGAGCTCCACCAACTGGACAACAAAAATGCATTCTTAAATGGGGATCTGGAAGAAGAAGTGTACATGATTCAACCTCCTGGGTTTGTAGCACAAGGGTGTGAAGGGAAAGTCTGCAAACTAAAAAAAATCTTTATATGGTTTGAAACAATCCCCAAGAGCCTGGTTCAATAGATTTCACTTGGCCCTTCAGCAAATTGGATTCAAGCAGTGCCAATCTGACCATACTCTATTTGTCAAGTGAAATCAGAAGAATGTTATGGTATTAGTTGTCTATGTTGATGACATTGTGATTACAGGGAATTGGGACTCTGAGATTAAGAAGGTCAAAGAATCCCTTGCTATGCAATTTGAGGTGAAAGATCTGGGACAGCTATGTTATTTCCTTGGTATTGAGGTTGCTCGCTCAAAAAGGGGCATCTTCATTTTCCAAAGGAAGTATATCCTAGATCTCTTGCAAGACATAGGAAAGTTAGGAGCAAAGCCTATAGATTCTCTTATTGAGGAAAACCATCGGCTTGGTGATTGTACTGGAGAACCCATGACAGATGTCAAGAAATTTCAAAGGCTGGTAGGAAGACTTCTTTACCTATCAATGACTCAACCAGATATAGCTTATGTTGTTGGTGTACCTAATTAGTTTATGCATGCACCAACATCCTCTCATTTAGAGGCAGCTGAGAGGGTTCTCAGGTATCTAAAGAAGTATCCAGGAACTAGGTTACTTTTCAAGAAACATGATCATATGAGAGTGGAAGTCTACACAGATGCAGATTGGGTTGGGGTAGTGGATGACTGAAAATGAACTAGTGGATATTGTACCTTTGTTGGTGGAAACTTGGTTACTTAGAGAAGCAAAAAACAAAGTGTTGTGGCCAGATCTAGTGCTGAAGCTGAATATAGAGCCATGGCGCATGGAGTTGCTGAAGTACTATGGGTAAAGAATTTGATTGGAGAGTTGGGTCTCTCTGTTGATGGCCCAATATCTCTCTACTATGAAAACAAGACAGCCATTAATATTGCTGCCAATCCAGTTCTTCATGACAGGACCAAGCATATTGAAGTTGACAAGCACTTCATAAGGGAGAAACTCGAAAAGGGGGAAGTTTGTACTCCTTACATCAGTTCCAAGGAACAACTAGCAGATGTTCTTACAAAGGGCCTTCACTATCTACAACATAATGAACTATGTGACAAGTTGGGCATGATTGACATATATGCTCCAACTTGAGGGGGAGTGTTGTAATGTGTAGCGACCTGTGGCCTACTAGGGGCATGTCTGCCCTTTCCTCTTGTATTTTTTATGAGCTGTCGCCCTAAGTATATATACTAACTTAGGCGCCGCCAGCTTTAGATTAGACAATACAATCTTTTTCTTCTCTTCTCTCTTCTCTCTTCTCTCATTCTCTCTTCTCTCTTCTCTCATTCTCTCTTCTCTCTTCCCTCTTCTCTGTCGAACTACAGAAAGGGAGGATCCCTCAAAAACCAACTTTCCATTCATTCCAAGTAAATGGTTCTGTCATTAAAGTAAACATAAAGGTTGCAAAAGTGATGTGTCAAGGGATGTTTAATAAAATCCAAAAGGTGTACCTGGTTCTCCTTACTTAGGAACATGGCATTCTCCATGATCTTTAAATATTTTAGGAGCAGCATGATATTTTCCAAAACCACATCATCTTTTAATTTGCAAACACAAGGCAAGTTAGATTTTAACCATCCCTACAAAAAAAGGAATTTTTGTAAAGAAATATCTATAAAGGACATGGAAAAAATATATTTATTAAACAATGTAAAAAACAAATAATTGAGAAACAAAGATGAAAACAATGAATAATTCCCAGAAAGATAATTCCCATTAAACCTAATGGTAATAAACACAGCCCTTGTATTTCATGTCTGGAGTTACAGAGCAACCTTAAGTCTGAGTATATCCTATAACATGCATATGCATATGCACATTATGTGTTTGCGTTCTCAACAAGAACACAAGCATGCATTTGAGCATACACAGCCTTGAATATATGAAAAAAAAAATACACACTTTAGGACAGGAACAAATATCCAAGGTAAAACAGAGGATTACCACTCAAAAGAAATGCATAAACCATACTATAAGCTCAATGACACCAGGAATTTAGCAATGCAAAAGCAATACAAGTATTGGGGATAGAGTGGGGACTTGAAAGCAACAAACTATCTAGCAACACAACTAAAGTAGTTGAAATTAATGCTGTATTTGAGAATAGATGCACGTTTAGGCATTTGAGGAGGAAAAGAATTTCCTCCTGGTTTTGTGTTTGTCCACCATGGTTCCAATAATTTGGATAGAAAACACAAGTCTGATCACATTCCAATCCAGTTCTGACGAGTACCTAGGTCAGGGATGTGAAGAACTGCTTGTATACAAACCCAGATGGAACATTTGCTAAACCTAACAAGTATCAATAAACCCATCCAAGCAAGTAAATCTTCCAGAATATTTCGTCACATTACAATAATTATCAACATATTTGCATTTCTTGTTAAACAGAAAATCAAATGGCATTTGTGCTCCTCATCTGTGATACCCAGATATAGATACCAACAAGGACACGGGTACAGCAAATGGTGATATGACTCCATTTCCTAGGAACTATCCCAACATGTTTATATCATGCTTCTATATGTAGTTTTTAAAGCAACTATCATTTCTCAAAATTTATATCTCATCATATTCAATTAAACTTCTAAGATATACAGATCTTTTTTATAATACGATTGTTAAAACATACCATTTTACATATTTTAGGTATCAATGCTATAAAGTATTCTCTCAAAGAGTCCATGCATTATCCACCATCATATTGGGTACATATCATATCTGAAACCAGTAAGCTAGGTATACGCAGTTATCTGAGTATCATAACTTAGGTGTCAATGCTATGAAGTATACTCTCAAAGTGTCCATGCAGTATCCACCATCATAGTGGGTACATACCATACCTGAAACCAGTAAGCTAGGTATATGCAGTTGTGAGTATCATAGGTTCTCATGAAATAAACTTCCCATACTAAAAGGATAATTTCAATGCAAAACATAATATCATTTTTTTAAATAGGAATGGCATACTATGTTAAATAACTCACTAAATCCTCTTTGGCATATCGACTGTAGCACTAAAATAAAAATATGAGATTGAAATTGCAGTTTGAGATATTATTTCTTTTGGTAATCAATAAAAAGAAAAATTACTAAAGTAAAAAAGCAGTACGTCTGGAAGTGATGAGATATCACTGGAGTACAACCCTACAAAGAGGAACAAAATAGGGAAAAATACAAGGATGATACAATAAGCATAGGCCATATAGACAACAAAGGAAAAACAAAAACACATCACGCCAGCTGCGAGGTATTCCAAAATTCAGCACCAAGATCTTACTTGAGATTCCTTCGAAATCTGGGAGAATCAGAATCCAATCCATGACTCATTTGCCACATAGGAGTGTTATGTGATCCCTTGATTGAGCTTTCCCATCAAAAACTCTCCTGTTCCTTTCTTTCCAAAGCTCCCAACAGACTGCAAAAGGAATGCAACTCCAAGTGATCTTTTCCTTGTCATTCCTAGCTATCTTTGGCCATTTAGAGAAGATTTCCTCCACTGAATTGGGAGATCATCCACCCACTTTGAATAGCCTAAAGAAAAAACCCCATATGAACTTGGAGAAAAGGCACTCAACCAGCATATGAAGCACATCCTCCTTAGAATTCTCACAAAGGTAGCATCTGTTAGCCAAGTGAAAACCTTTGTCTTGAAGATGATTTTTTTTATAAGTGATAGCATTTTATTAAAAAAGAGGGATCACATCAAGATTTAGAAAACAAACTATCCCAATAGGGACATGAGGTGCGACCCCATTCTACAATGACCCAAATTACAACTGAGCCAAGAACAGCTCAGACTTAAACACCCCCATCTTCGCAAAATAATCAGCCATTCCATTTGCAGACCACCTTTCCCATTTCACAAGAACTGTCATGTCTCTAACTAGCCATTTGAACTTTTTCATAGATTCGTTGTACTTCCAACTCACTGTTTTTGGTTCCTTCAGCCACCCTATTATCAATTTAGAGTCACCTTCAATGAGCAGTCTATCAAAATTTAGCTGTCTCGCAATCTGTACTCCTTGCAAGACTGCTTGGAACTCTGCAAAAACTGAGTCCCCTATTCCAACCGGGCCTGAGAACACAGCAACAATGAGTCCTTCATTATTCCTAAAGACCTCTCCTACACCAACTGGACCTGGGGTTCCCTAGGCTGCTGCCATCAAAGTTCAACTTAATAAAGCCTTCATCAGGAGGTTCCCAAGCTACCACTGATCTGTTCCTTGCAGTAGAACTTCTAGCTACAGCTCCCCAGTTTCTCCGCAAGTCATCAACAGAGAAATCTGAGAACAAGTTTGAGGCTTTAACCCAATGTATAGCTCTATTAAAAATACACTCCCAAACTGCCTCCATACTCTTTTCTATGTCACTGAAGACTACCACTTCTCTCCTCCCACACCGTCCATATTACAGCAGCCCTAATGCATCTCCACATGACTTTACCTCTCTTCTTTGGCCAACTGAAGGTCGTGGAGTCAAAGAGATTTCCAATCTGCAGAGGTACAATCCACCTATGACCAAAAAGATCAAAAACCTTTTCCCAGAGGCCTACAACAAAAGGGAAAGAAATTAGGAGGTGGTAACAGCTTTCACCACAAGCTTTGCAAAGGATACACCAGTTTGGGGAAAGTCACAAGGTAAGTCTTCTTTTTTGCAAGGTGTCTAACGTGTTTATTTTTCCAAGAAAGACTTCCCAACAGAACCCCAACCTTGGGAGGGAGAGGTTTGGACCAGAATTCTTTAAACGGGCAAGGGGAGTGAATCGGGGCTGAACACAAGCAAGAGAAGAAAGAAGCACAGAAAAACAAACCCCTAGGGTGTGGAGTCCAAATACGATCATCAGGTTTAGAAAGATCCAGAAAAACAGAATCAAGGACTTGCATTTGCAAGAACTAAGTTGCCAGTTCAAGCTCACTGTCTCTCAAGTTTCTTCTTAGTCCCAGGTCCCAACTTACCCCAGACAACCAAGCAAAAAGCCTCTAACCAAGCAAAAGCTTCCACCCTTGGAGGAATAGGGTTTCCCCAAATGCCTTTCAACCCTGAGATATCCCTGTTTGACCTTGAGAGAGACTAATAGAAGGATTTAACTAAAAATAAACCATTTCTTAATTCTTTCAACCATCTTGAGTCTTTCCTTTTCACCTGAGGCTCCACTAATTGTAATTTTGTTAGAAGATCTATACACTCTTGAATTTTCCAATCAAATAGAGATCTCCTAAATTTTGGACCCCAAACTGCTCTACCTTGATTGATCTCAACATTCTTTGCGACAGAGCTATTCTTCATACCCAACCTATATAGCTGAGGGCAATGGTCACAGAGCTTCCCAATACCCAACCAATCATCTTCCTAGAACTTAATTGTCAATCCATCACCAACTCTAAAGGAAACAAGATTGAGAAAAGCTGATTGGAAGCTCATAATCCCTTTCCACACACTTACCCCATAAGATGCCTTCACTTCTTCAGGGTCCCATCTGAAGCCAATAACCCCATATTTGCAAGCCACCACCCTTCTCCAAAGTGCCTCCTTCTCCATAACCACTTGCCTAAGAGGGCTTTATTGAAGACCTTCAATTTCCTTATTCCCAAACCCCATCCTTTTTTCCTTGCAAACTTTGTCCCATTTGGCTAAATGAAATTTCTTCAATCCTTTAACTCCCCATAAGAACTCCTGCAAATATTCAATTGAATTTATCATACTAGATGGGGCCATTAAAAGCAAAAAGTAATAAACCAGAAGGCAGTTTGAGATATTATGACTTCAAAAAAATCAAACTTTTGCAACTATGTCAACCTTAGATCATACACTTGAACTATTTTTAATCATGAATTCATGACATGTACTTATTATCACCAGACTTAACATATGGACTCACACCTCCATGGTGGAACAGCAATTGGTAGTGATATCAAAGACAGAATCCAGTCCTCCAAGTTCTTGTAACCTTTCCTTAAAATTTCCACCAACCCGTCTCATAGTGCTAGACATATCTGAAATAATATAAACTTATAAAGTAGCATAAAGGCCTAAGAGAAATCAATCAAGAGGACATAAATGAGAGCAGTGCTAAGAATACAAATTTGTTTTCCTGTATGGATTACAAATGCACCATATATCACATATTGGGAACATTACAGTTGGATCCCCAACCACCAGTATAGGTAGGTCCCAGGCACAATATCCTGGATGTGTGATGTAGTGAATTGGCATACGGGGAAGAAACTATGCACTTAGCAATTTTCTAGAAATCATTTGTTAACAAAATAACAATATCTGTTAACAAGAGCTTTTTTCTTTTCAAAATATCATAAGCTCCTAGGAACCAAAATAAATAAATTGGAGAAATCTCGTCAGAGTACCTTCTAGAGAAACCATAGATAAGAATGCCTTCTCCATTGTCGACAAAGCTATCCATTTTGGGCTTAATTCTGGCTTCACCTTTTCTTTATTGTCCCCATTGCTTGATTTTATCTCTTTGCAGTTCAATAGAAGCTCCTGAACTTTCAAAATGATGCCACTTGAGCTAAAATCTGATCTTTTCATTGTATCATTCATTATGACTGGATTCTTGCATAGTGCTAGAAGCTTACAACCAGTGGTGAGGACTTTATCTTCCATGGAATCGGCAAGGGGTGGTTTCAATAATTTTAGAAGGGAATTATTTGAAATAGGTGAATCCAGAAGGTCATCATCTTAACCCTGAAATAGTAAAATTGCAAAGACTTCAAGGAGCTTACACAAAAGAATATGTCCAAGTAATGCTGGTCAATCAAGTGCACCCACATATATAGACAATGAGATGAACTACCCATAGCCTACTACATGGAAAAGCAGGAACTGTTGAAAACCTTCAACAGAAATTAGAAATGAAAACGACAACCAAAAGTCCATTACTCAATGTTGCTCCCATCTATCTGGGGTTTTGGGAGGGTTAGACTTGATATGGTCCCAACCCTCTTTTTGTGTGTGTGCACGAAGTGGTCACTCTCATATTTGAACTCATGTTCTCAAGCTTCCAGCCCAGGATTTTACCATTAAACCAAACAATGGCCCCTGAATCTGCCATTGAGACTGTGTGTGAATTGTGTAATCACTATCCAAAAATAAATAAATTAAACTAAACTGAGGAGTATAGAAACTTTTAAGCTTCAAAGGAATGAAAATTACATAAAACAAGGTCTAAACCTTTTACATCAAATTAGTGACTCATTTAAGTGGTAGTCCTCAAGAAATATAGAGGAGCCAACAAAAAGATAAAGACACGAAATGGGGAGCATCTTGAACCACATAATGATTATTATAGACAGAGCAAGCATGATTTCTGCAGAAGTACAAGTAACTCAGTTGGACTAAGGCGGGTTAGAAGCAAAAAGACTACAATCGTCCAACAACCAAAATAAGAGCCACCTATGGGTAATCCACTAAAATCAGCAAAAAAAAAAAAATAAGAATCATCGAATCATTATTATCTATTAGTTAAGAAAGGTTCTCTTAGTGGGACAACTTTTTTCTTTGATAGATAAAAGTAATTAACTAACAGAAACGGGAAACAAATTGTTCTATACAGGGGGAGGGCTGCTCCACAAAACAAAATCCGAGTACAAAGATTTAGATAACTGAGACAAACCATGAGCAGCCCTATTAGCAGACCGAGACACAAAACAAAACTTAACTACAGAGAACCAGCCCAAAATAGAACGAATACAGTCACATAACCAAAAAGATTCCCAAGGAAGAGAAGGGGAGCCCTTCTCCAAAAAGCCTACTATATTTTAGCATCTGAAAGCACCAGAATGTGTCTTCAATTCTTGGATCATCCCAACAAAAGAGCAAAGTATATTGCAAAAAGTTCAGCCAACACCGAAGTCCCCCAAGCTTCTTCTTACCACCTGCAGCCAATATAAAAAGTCTTAAGGTTGAAAAACACAAATACCACACCTTACCATATCATTTGGGGCTACACCTCCATCACATTTCATGATAACATCAAAATCAGATAAAGGAGGCAAAACACAAGTCAGATTATCTGTGCTGGGGATTGATTGATTCTGGCTAGTTGAGCTAGAACTTCTTACCATAAAGACCTTTGAGACTGCAGCCAAAATAGTGTTAGCAGAACCTTGAGCATTATGAAACAATAAAATCATTGCGAGCTTTCCAAACAATGATAGGGCAACTGCTAACCAACTCAGAATTTCATTAGATAATACATTACAAATGAACCATATTGAGAGTTTGGATTGTGGGAAGAATTTGTTGAAATGGAAAAATATGAGTTGAGATGGATGAGAAAAGTAAAACAATCAATGAATAAATAAGTAAGGATTTTATTATTAATGTAATTAATGATTCAATAAAAACAATTAAGTAATAAAATAGTTAAATAAGTAATAATAAAAATAAAAATATTAATTTATTCATAGTAAATATTAATAAAATAAATTTTTAAATAGTTATTCTTAATTAATAATTAATTAGATAATTATCAATATTAATTAATTAATTTCATTAAAATATTTATAACTAATAATTAATAATAGTAAGATATAAAATAATAAAAATATTAGTAATTAATTAATTAATAATTGTTACTAGGGTTGGTTTTCCTATTATTTTTCCTTTTGCAACCAAACAATGAAACATAAAAAATTTTCACCCATTTTCCTTTTCCTATTCCACCAAAATCTTCACACAAATCAAACGCAGCCTAAGAGAACAAAAACCCAAAGGAGAAGTAAAGAAATAGCTTTAACTAGAACAAATGCAAAATAGATTCCTCGTGACAGAACAAACAAGATAAAACCGAAATGAAACCAAAATTGACCGATTTATCTTTAGTAATAACAAAACCTGTAGCAAAGCCTCCAAAGGAACAGTGTGAACTTAGTTCGGCCTTTCAATTGCCATATATGTTTAATTTAGCAAAGTAGAGTCTAGTCTAACATTAGAATCCTTCCAAGTCTTATCATAATAGAGTTTCACAAAAAAAACTTACCTCCTGATTTTTAAAGATACAAGTATTTGCAATAAACTCAACTTTTTGAGGACCAAAGTGTTGGTGAGGTTTAGAAAGATCCTAACCACCATTCAATAAAATCAAATCATCAATTGTAGGCTGATTTTGAGAAGTACAAATAGGTGGTTCTAGGGGGCGCAGAACTTATTATCCTTTAAATTCCAAGGGCAATTCCAAGCATTAAAAGAGGAAGAAGGAGTCACTTGGAGATCAATGTATATTAGTTAGGGCCTTAGTGGGACAACTTATGTGGGGTATACTTGTACTTTGACCTTATAATATAATATAGGGTAAATTGCTGAAACCTCCCCTAAAGTTTGGTAATTGTAATCACTTCCCCTAAACTTTTTAACAATTGTAAGTAGACTCCTCCTATCAGAATCCTCTAAAAAGAGGCATGAAAATGCCCAAAACACCCATGCAGTTACTTTGGTTTGATCAAAATGTTTATTTTCCAACTTTTTTCTACAAATGAATCGCTATTCCAAGCTCTTTAGATCTCTTTTCTAAAGTTGATTTACTTTCTAAATCTGCCCTTCATATCAATGGCGCAAGGGTAAAGTTGCAACTTTAAATTCTCTTTTTTTATTTCTATAAAGCTTGTATTGTTATTCCTATAGAAATCAGCCTCACTAGTAACTGCATGGCTATTTTAGACATTTTCATGTCTCCTAGATAATTCTAATAGAGGGGATTTATCTGCAACCATTTCAAAAAGTTTAGGGAAGATAATTGCAATTACCAAATTCCAAGGGAGGTTTTAGCAACAATAGGGGAGGTTTCAGCAATTTTTCCTCATTCTGTAAATCTAGCACTGAACAATCAAAATCTAAGCATACTCTCCAATAATCATGCCACTTAATTACAGACTTCTACATTTACATTAAATAAACTGACAAAAATTAAGAAAATGGGGGAATTAGAGAGTAATAGGGACTGAACAAGAAAGACCTAAATGATATGCTAAGCTCCTTCCACATTTATGAGTCCATCAAATGCTTTCATCCTTCACCAAGCAATGAATTTTTAGAACTTCAAAGAACAACTTGAAAGGAACATAACCATAGAAAAAAAAAACAAAAATACACTAATAAACCCTTTCGACATTTCAGCTTTCGTGACATATACCAATTAACTGCCAAAATAACAAAAACATGCAAACACACATGCATAGCATAAGCACATACGTATATGTGCACATGCACACACATACACTATCCACTTTTGACAACTTGAGAAACGTTACAACAACTCTCAAAATTTATAGTTTTCAAACAAGCAACTTTTTATCGCTTTTTATTGGTCAATATCTACAATTTATTTAATATAATGAAAAACTATGAACTAAAAGATATAACATGAGTTGTTTGGTAAGGTTTCATTTACCTTGTGGAATTAATATAAATACATTAAGTTGTGATGTATATGAAAGAAAGCTGAGAATGCAAGAAATAAAATCTAACAGTAAATTTTGCTTCTTTTCTTTTTCAAATTACAAGAATGTCACTCTTCCCTACCAACTCTCCTTCTTGTTTTTTTTCTTTCAAATTACAAGAATGCCACTCTCTCTCCTACCAATTCTTTCTCTTTTTCTTACAAATTACAAAATGCCACACACACACACTCTCTCTTTCGCTTTTTTTTCCTTACAAATTACAAGAATATCACTCTCTCCTACCAACTCTCTCTTTTTCCTTACAAATTACAAGAATGACACTTTCTCCTATCAACTCTCTTTCCTTATAAATTATAAGAATGCCACTCTCTCTCCAACTAAGGGAGACCTCAACTCGACATCTCGGCAGCTAGGGGACCTACAATCAAAGGTAGTCAAGCTCGGGCTCAAGTCTCTAATTCGAATCGAGCTTGAGCTAGACAACACCTCGACCACTGAGGGAGACATCGGCTCAACACCTCGACAACTGAGGGAGACCTCAGTTCGGCATCTCATCAACTAAGGGAGACCTCAGTTCGACACCTCGCTTGCTAGGGAAACCTCAACTCAATACTTCAACAGCTGAGGGAGACCTCAGCTATTGAGGGAGACCTTGGCTCAACATCTCAGCTACTAGGGAGACCTGCAATCAAAGGTTTCACAAGCCTAATTGAGTGTGTACATAGGGTGTCACCTCGGCTTGACACCTCGATCACTAAGGGAGATCTTGGCTCAACACCTTAACAATTGAGGGAGACCTCAACTCGGCACCTTGTCAAATAAGGGAGACTTCATCTTGACACCTCGCCTGTTAAGGAAGTCTCAGCTCGACACTTCAACAACTGAGGGAGGCCTCGATTGTTTGGAACCTCGGCAATTGAGGAAGACCTCGGCTCAGCACCTTGGTTGCTTAAGAGACCTAAAATCAAAGGTAGTTGAGCTCGAACTTCTAAGTTTTTGGCTCGAGCCGCTCGAGCTCAAGTCTCTAATTTGAATTGAACTCGAGCCTGATAGTTTATGAGCGATGATCCCCTACAGCGTAGGGTCCCCTCCGCTAGTTCACTATTAAGAGGATATAACTCTGATGAGTGATACGACATAATAACATTATAACAATAAACAAATTATTATTTTTTTGCATGATTAAAATTCACAATTTATCAGCGCAATCAATAATAAAAAACTATACTCTAAAGTCATAACATTAGTTAATTAGCTGGTAAAGCACCATTAATATTTTATAAGTGTCCACTCTTAAAAATATAAAAACTCTTATAAATGATAGAGCATAAGATCATCAACTGAAACTGTTGTTGGGGCCTCGCAACAATCACCCACATGATAAAACCACAAAGTATTTGAAAAAATTACCAAGGAAAGATCCAATAATAACAAAATAACGAAATCCAAGCAAAGACAAATAAAAACAAGCCCCCACCAAGAACACAAAGGATTTATGTGGTTCAGCTTTACTGTCTATGTCCATGGGAGACACGGAAACTATTCTTCAACATGAAAGAAAATGAGAAATAGTACATGTACCTTGTGGCTTACAACCCAAACCAACCCTTAACCCTTTGTACACCCATTCTCCTTTTTCTCTCTCAACCCGAAAAGCAAATACAAGAGGGAAAAAAAACTACTCTTACACCAAGGGCACCATCTTTCTCTCTACCTCTCTTTTTTCCTCTCAACAAGAAAAAATAGTAACTTATTTCTCACTTGTCTAAACTCTACATACAAAAGAAACATTTTATATGTAAAACCCTCTTAACCTAAAGAAGGACCACACGAACCGTTAGATTAAAAAATAATCCAACGGTGAAACATAAGACACAATTCCAACAATCTCTACCATGGGTTATTTTTCAACCACAAACCTCCATTGGCCTTGTAAAAATACACATAACCTAAATTAACCGGTCCTGATTCCACCTAATTCAAACAAACAACCAATGTACCTGTCTAATTGCATCTAAGTTAACAGTCCAAATTAACTCTAGAGAGGGACCTTGATCTTTCCTTTCTCCCAGTAGGAACATTCCTCTCACCAGCATATTGTGAGTGTTGGGAAACGACTCACTTTGGGCTAGATTTGGAGTTGCCACCCATTAATCATGTGAAATGGAGGTGATGGGACCTCCGGGATCTACATTAAAAACCATTTTGGTTTAATAGCGACTCCAAAGCCTAGGTACTTGTTACACTAGTGCGGGTAAGACTCGGATGGGAAAGGGAAGGGGTTAGAAACCCCCCTCGTGGGTCCAATAGACAGGGCCCACATGGTAATCCAGAAAAAGCACAATAACAAACAAAATAACAATAAAGAAGGCAAACCATATGAACAAATCATCACAAAGGTAAATTCTACGTATTTTATCTTATTATTTTTTTGTTTCATTATATTTGTTATCTTTTTTTTGCGTGTGTTCAACTTTATCATTTTTTATTTTTTATGCACATATTTTTATTTTCCTTTCCTTTTTATTATTATATTTTTTATATTTTACTTTTTTAATTTATTTCTGTCTATTTATCTATATGTTTTTTATTGATTCATTTTCTTTTTATTGCTTTATTATCCACTGGATTTATTATTTCTTTGTTCTATTCTATGCTAAAAATTCTGCTACTATACTTTTATTTATTTTCCTCTTCTTTTTTTTTTATTTACTTTTGTTCATCATAATCCTTCTTTTCTCCTATTCCCTCCCTTTTACCTCCTATATGCAATCCTACCCCATTCGCCAAACTAACCATCTGGACTTGTCAAACTAACCATCTAGACTTAGCAAATTTCTTAAACTATCCTTACT